CAAAGAGAGGGCAATGAGGCCTTCCCAAGATCTAGCATGACGGATGGACCGTGGAAACGTGAGGCTTGCTAGCCAACGCCAAGCCTTTCTGAATCTGGGCTCCCGCCTTCTCTCCTTCCCTGCTTTGACAACCCTTATGCCCCACTATCAGCCTTGAGCTGACGCTGCTTTAGGGTGACGTTGAGTAAAGAGCTGGGCTAGCTCAGAGGGATGATGATGAGGTGGACAGAGGTGATCTGAGCTAGCGGCAGCAGGTGACACACGGAAGGATACAGCATGCGGACTTTGGAATCAAGTACATCTGGATTTGCGTCTCTCACTACCAGTAGCTTTGTGGCATTGGGCAAGTCATTCACCCCAAGGGCAGAGTACTCAATATGCAAAGTAAGGATGGGTTCCTTGTGCTTACTTACTCATCTGCAATGACCAGCTTCACATGGTTAAATCCACACTTACCTTGCTTCCTGGGCACTCGGTCCCTATCAGAGATTGTAAATTTGAAAAGCAGCTTTGATTCTGTAGGTAGGTGTTGTGTTATTGAGAGAGAGACAGTTGCAAGCCATCTAAAAGCAGAATCTTTAATGTGGTGGGGAAAATGCAAAATTGTTCACTTTCACTACAGATCAGTAAGCACAAGTAAGCCCGTGCTTTACCTTGCTTATTGGGTAATCTGACACTGAGTCAATCTCTCCAAATCACAATTTCCCCATCTGTAAAATGGGTACAAAGGGCTATCAACCACAAAGTATTGTTGGAAGGAGAAAATGAGTTAATAAATAAATAGAGTGCTTAGCATAGTGCCAGGCACAGGGAAGCCCTGGGAAGGAAGGAAAGAAGGAAGGGAGGAAGAAAGGAAGGGAGGGAGGAAGGAAGGAAGAAAAAGATCAGACGTGTAGCCTAAAATCGCCACCGTTGGTCACTAGTGGAGGAGGCAGCTTGGCAGACAATTAAATGAGCAGCTTGTCCATCCCACATCTGACGATCTGGAAAGTTCTTCCCTTGGCTGTCGTCTGAGAATCAGACCTGAGGAGGGGACATTTAGGTGAGGTTGCACATCACTGTTCAAACAGAAATTCTGCCACAAAGAGGGTATCAGTGCCCCTCCCCCACCCACCCCCCATGACCACGATTCCCACCCCATCTGTACTTCCACCAATGCACACATTTAGGGGTCATTTGAAAATCATTGTTAATTATAAAATTAAGCTTGGCCTGATCTCAGTGCCCATCTTCCCAGGTGAGATGATCTGACCTCTTTCACTTGAGCTGTTGGGGTGCTTTGCCTCACTGCAGGCCATATGGATATGAATGGGCATGTGCAGGGTTTGGGGGCGGAGTTTGGGGGAATGTGTGGTTCTCTATCCAAATCCTCAGTGAGAAAAAGATGACAAGTATCTCGTTGAAACTGTGAAAAGGAAGAGCTTGGTTTTTCTTTTTCTCATTAAAACACATACCGGTTCCCAGTTCCCATCAGGTTGCCTCTCACTCTTGGTGACCCCATTGCATGTGGCAGAGTAGCCTTTGCTCCACAGGGTTTGCAGTGGCTGATTTTTAAGAAGTACATTGCCTGGCCTTTCCCTCCAGATGCCTCTAAGTTGATTTGAACTACCAACCTTTTACTTAACAGCCAGGCACATTAACAATTTGCACCACTGAGGAATTCAAAATAGGCAAAAAAAAAAAAAACCTCACTGCCTTTGCGTCAACTCCAACTCCTAGCGACCCCTCCTTGACCCCAATTATGACCACCTTGTAAGAGATTACAGCTGGTCCCTTTATTTGGTACTCTTGTCATTACTTCTTCAGTGAACATCAATATGCATAAGAGCTCCCATGCATCCATTAGCACCTTTTGCAGCAGTGAGGTCCAAATCCCTCAACTGTGAAACTCCCCCACCACGGGGGAGGTTAGGAACATAATCCCCACAGTCGGAAAGGCATGGAGGCAGCCCTGGGTTTGCAGAGAGTCCACGGGGCCCATGGGAGAGATTTTTTTTTGGATGCAAGAACCTTAGGAAGGGGAAGAGGAGCAAAGAGATCCAGTGAGTGGTCGTTGCCCCTGGGTCACTCTCTGCATCTCATGGTGGCCCACCTTCTGGCTTTGCAAGTGCCCAGGTTGAATGAGGAAGAAAAGAAAGTTGCATTCAACTCCCAGCATTCCTCAGACTCATCAGCCAGCTCTCCACTTGGTCCGCATTCCCACCCACGAGGCCAGGGACCCACTCCTCACTCTGTGCACGCTCTAGTGGGCCAGGTTGGTGCTGGACCGGGCTGGGAAAAGCTGTGTTGGCCACAGTCCCCTCCACCCTCACTGTAATCTCCCCACTTCTTTAAGCCTCTCTGCCCCCCTTTCTCCTCTCTGTGCTCTCTTTTGCCCATCTTCTCCATCTCTCCCCCTCATCCTGCTCCATTCTGGCTGGCTACATTGCCACCCACTCACTTTCCCGTCTCAGTCCATGTTGCTTCCATTCCAGTTGCTTCAGTATAGAGTTGAAGGTGGGAGGAGGGGATGCACTTGACCCCAGGAGCTGCTTGGCCCTTCAGCTGGATGTGTGCCCACTGCACTTGCATTTCCTGGGAGAGGCCCTGTCACCCATTTCCTCTTCCAAATTCCTGCCTAGGGATAGGGCAGAGACACCCAGGGAAGCCTTTCAGTGGACAAACCAGGTGCCGGAAAACCTCCTTTTGTAGAACTAAAGGATTTGGGGTTGGATCTACTTCTTCGATTTGCCCCAAGGCTCCCCTAAGAATCTTTTGGCTTTTATTTTTTAAGAGTTTGTTTTACATTCAACATTACATGTATGTTTAGTTTTACTCCCCATTTACCATCCCCAACTCTAACCCAGTCTCCTCCCCTCCCTGCCCAGTAACCGTCCCCACTCCACCCCCCATGCCCCTCACAGTTATGCATTGCCGTGTGTCCTGCAAATGTTGCCTCTCTGGTCCCCCGTGGTCGATTGCTCCAAGGGATGCATTTCCATAGAGTATGTGGGAACATCATCCTGGGTTGAGTGGTCTGCGTGTACATCTTGTTTACTATTGGGCTGAAAGCCAGCCCCAGGGAGTGAGTTTTATTCCAGGCCCAGAATGTATCCCAGGACCATAGTATTAGGGGTCTCACCAGATCCCATCCAACCAGTAATTCTGGTCATTATTGAGTTTTTGTTGCACGTTTTTCCTCCCACTCTATCCAGGATCTCCAGATTTGATCCTTTCCTGAGTGGCTGGCATTGCTAGCCAGGCACCATCTAGTTCTTCTTTTTTGGCTTTTTTTTGGATGTGCATCTAAAATAGATTTTGAGTTTATCTATGAAGCCCCTGGGTGGTTCAAAAGGTAAACATGCTTAGCTGCTAACAGAAAGTTCAGGAGTTTGAGTCCATCTTGAAGTGCCTTCAAAGAAGGGCCCGTGATCTACTTCCAAAAGATTAGCCACTGAAAACCCCACTGAGACGCATGGAGTCGACCCAACAGCATCCCTCAGCTAGAGTCAACGTGCAGTGAAAAAACTAACCATCGGCTTCTCTGCGCCCTCTGGTGGTGGGTAGCATGTAACACAGGTTATGAAATACTCCTAAAAAGGATAATAAAAGAAGCTCTCACGACCCAAGGCAGCTGCCTAGAAGTTTTCTGAACAGTGTACCAGTGCAATTCTGCAGGGAAAAATAGCCAGCAAGCAGAGGAATAGGCCATGCTGATGCTCCTGCTTTAGGCATGTTTCCCAACACGCAGCGGAGCTTGCCTTTGCCCCTACCATCTCATCAGCATTTTCCTAGCGGTTTGCTGGGCTCCCGGTCCCTCTCCGTGAAGAAGCTGAGAAGCAGCAGCTGTGGCTGCCTCCCAGTGGCCCCGTCTATAATCTTCCTGCTCAGCATGGCTCACACTGAGGTTTAGTAGCTGCAAACAGAGATAGGCTCAGGCTGTCCCGAGAAGGCAGCCCTGCGGCAGGTGACTCAGCGGGAGAGGAGGGTGGAACTTGGGGCGAGAGGGGTCAGCACTGATGACAATGAGTCCGAGGGCTTTTGTGCATAAGACACAGAGCTGCATTCCAGCTCAGCCACAGCATCACAATCTAACGAATTCACAGTAATTCCATTGATGTCCCTACATCTTCCCTATGGGTTTAGACAAATAGATTTCCTGCTTCCTGCTTCCAAAAATGCAGCTTGAGCCTAGGTCTAAATCCCACAGCCAAGTGATCCCTCTTTTCCTGTTAAGCCACCCCCTTCACCCTACCCCAAGCCCAAGTAATTATGCAGAGTACCCAGGCTGCTGTGGGTGAAGATTTTACTTTATTCATTTTTATTTGGGGGAGAAAGGGTTAGAGCGAAAAGATGCTGCCAACGTGGCGGGCATTAGCATGATCCCTGCACATGCAGGACACGGATGGTGTTCACTCTGGAATTGGCGGTTGACAGTGAATGTACCCTACAAAGAGAACATCCCCACAGCTGCAAAAGCCCCCTCCTCATTTTTCTTAGTTTCAAGACACCCACCACCCAACCCCAGGATCACCTGTCATTCTCAGTAGGGCTATCTCCTAGAGAGTTGGGCTTTTACTCCTGTGGGCTCAGAGTCCTGTGACCCAAATAAGCATGCATCCCCCCAGAGAAACAGGGAAACCGACCCAGGCTGCTGGAACACAGAGAGATGACACACTTCCTTTTTCATCATCCACCAGCTTGGGAGAAAGACTGCTTGCTGTCATACCCATGAGAAGTGGGAGAACCCTTTGGCCACCATCTTTCCCATCTCCCCAGAGCCCTGTGCAATATGGCCCCAGCTGTTCACACCCTGACCCAACCAGGAGGCTTCCAACTCTTCTCCTCGGAAAACAGACATTTGGGAGTTAACAGGTAGAGCTCAACCGAATGTTCAAACCCAAACTTTCTTTTTCATTGACGCTTGTTGGACCCAAAGGCCTCATCCTGCTGCCCCGAGGCAATTTCTGAGGTCTGAAACCCCCATACCTGGCTCCTAGTAGCCCCAGCTATCTGTGGGTCCAGTGGAAATGCATTGAGTTGCAAGCTCTCATCACCCCGATCTCCCTGCAGCCTCCCAGAGCGGTCTTGAGTTTCTCGCTCAGCATCTCTCCCTCTGGTTTGCTGTTGTGTCCCGAATCGGAGGTGCCCAGGGCAGCAAGGGAGGCATCAGGTGCCCTTGCTTTCTGTCCTCTCCTCATCCACTGTCTGAGCATTGCTGACCGCGCGGAGCTGGCCCTGGGTCGCAGGCTTCACTGACAGGACCAAGCGTTTGCGGAACGTCTCACAGAGCACAATGTATACAAAGGGGTTGAGGCAGCTGTTGGCGTAGCCCAAGCTGATGGCCGCATTGTACAGGTAGACAAAGGTGAGGGTCGGGCGGCTGATGGACAACTGGGTCAGCTGTAGCACATAGTAGGGTGCCCAGCATACAAAGAAGACTAGGCAGATAGCAATGGCCGTGCGGGTCACCCTCTTTGTCCGCAGCCGGATGCTACGTTGGGAGGTGGGAGCCACCGAGGATGTCATGCGCTGAAGGATCCTCACGTAGGCAGCCGTGATGACCACAAAGGGCAAGGCAAAGGCCAGGAAAAACTGGTACAAGGTGAACCAGTACAGGTCAGTGTCCGGATTGGGCAGGCGGATACCACAGCCCACTGCGCCCCCTGGGAAGGGGATGAGCCTGGCATAGAGCCACACGGGCGTGATGCTGATGAAGGAGAGGGCCCACAGGAGGCAGATCACCAGGGTGGCCACGGACGGCTTCCGGAACTTGGTGGAGGAGATAGGGTGGACGGTGGCCAGGTACCGGTCGATGGCCATGGCGGTGAGGATGTAGGTGCTGGTAAACTGACTGTTGGCGTCCATGGCCGTGATGAGCGTGCACATGGTCTCCCCAAAGTGCCAGACGCCATTGCCCATGAGTTGGTGGATCATGAAGGGCATGCCCAGGAGGAAGAGAAGGTCCACCACTGAGAGGTTGATGATGAAGATGTCGGGAACGTTGCTACACCAGTGGAGCTTGGACTTCTTCACCACCGCGAAGATGACCGCGGAGTTCCCAACAATGCCCAGGAGGCAGATGGTGCCGAATACCGAAGGCATGATGATGTTGATGTAGGAGACGCTCCCTGAGCGAGGAGGTGAGCCTGGGGACGTGGGAAACAAGTGTCGACATTTGACATGGACTCTGCCCCAAAGGTAGGCGTCCCACCTGGCTGGCCCAGCCTCAGCAATACACTTGCTTATTCCTTATCCCCTCCACTACTCTGTGCAGGCCCACCCTCCCTCTGGATTCCTTCCGTCCTTCCTCCCTTCCACACTGATGGCTGTCCTTCCCCATCTGCTCCATGACTCCTTGGGCAAACCTACCAGATCGCTGCACCACCTGTTAGTCAAAGGGCCCAGCCCTCTGCCTCACACGTTTCTCTGAAAGCCCGGGGTTAGGAATCACAGCTCCCTGCGGACCCCAGGCTTCACCCCCAAACCTCATGGAAATAGGCAAAAGACATGAAAGTGTTTGTCTCCGTTCCGATCTGTAGCCCTGATCATTTCATTTCAGACATCGCCGGGTGGAAGCCGTGGCCTGTCTGTGAGTGACTGTCTTGAGGTGGTTTTTGCCCATCGTGTGCCCCCCGGCAGGCCCACGGCTGACCTTCTGACCTCCTCCCAGGGATTTCCTGGGTCGGGGTCTTCTGTGCCCGGGGTTCCCCAGTGGAGCAGGGACCTAAGCTGTGTGTGTGCCTAGCAGCTCCAGAATTTTCTCCACACAGCCCGTTTATCTCTTCCTTCCTTCCCTTCTCCTTCAAAGCAGAATCCCTGGCATCTGGGAATGTCAGGAAGCTTAATTCACCGGAAAGTTAATCCCCTCACAGCTCTGTGAAGTCCTCCTTTCCCCCTGGGGGCCGGTGAGGGTGGCTCAGACCCCAGTCCTGGAGCCCGAATGAAAACCCAGATGACCCAGCGGGTGACCGAGCCAGTACCCCCGCTGCCTCCCACACTCTCCTCTTGCTTCACCAACGGGATTTTTTTTTTTTTTTTTTTTTTTTCTGCGAAGCATCTTTGGAACTCGTCCTCCTTTAAGCTGGCCACCATCCCTTGTCACTCTTGGCTGTGCCCATGTCCCTTCTCTGCTCCTGCCCCTTCCGCCCCTGCTCCCCTCCTCCTCTGGGCAAAGCAGACTGTGACAAAGTTTCCCGAGCACTTTGGCTCAGGTGCAAAGCCTCCCCACTTCCCACTCCCCAGCTCCCACCGGGGGAGAGGGCTCCCCGCCCACTCGACTCACCGCCGGCGGTGAGGTTGTCCGGGCCATCCGAAGTGTTGCTGCCGTTGGGGCCGGTGGGCAGCAGCGAGGCGTCCAGGTCCATCCTCCTCGGGTGCCCGTGCCTGCTCCCCGAGTGGCGCCCCGCTGCACCCACGCAGGCTGCGGCAGCTCCGCCGTCCGCCTGCCCGCCTGCCGGTGGCCGCCGTGTCCCGCCCGAGCCCGAGCCCTGCAGACCGGAAGGGGGTCTCCCCCGGCACAGCGGCAGCCTCGCTGCCTCGGAGCCCAAACTGTGCTCCTCGCCGCCTCCTTCGCGGCTCGCACTGACATCACCTAGCCACATTAACATTCCGAGGCAGATGCACATTAACCTCTTCAGGCCCGGCCTGCAGCTCCCACTCCGAGTGCCTGCAGAGCTGGCCAGGGCCCTGGGGAAGGGCAGGCAACTCCCGCGGGGAGGGCACCCCCTTTCCCTTGCACGGGACCCTGTCTCTGTGGCATTTGGGGCTGCTGCTTCCTTTACGTGAGGATGGAAGTCTCTGCAAAGACAAAAGGGTCAAGGCATGAACTGCCTCTCGAGTCTGTCCTAGCTTCTAAACCCTGCGTCTGGGTGGCCCGGCCACGTGGCAAGGGTCAAGGGTGACTTCCCAGATCTTGGGAATCAAGGGCTTCCAAGGCAGCCTCCTTGCCCTGACTCATACCCGAGGCCACCCTCAAGCCCCTCACCAGTGCCTCGGGGGGGAATCCCACTCCTTGGCTGAGTTACCAGGGCCCAGCAGAAGCTGCAGGAAGAGTCATGGGCTGAGCCCTTGACCAGCACTCAGCAGTGACACAGGTCACGGAGTGCTGGTCATGGCCAGGGCCTCGGGGACACCTGTCTGCAGGATCAGCATGGACTATGCATACAGAGGTTTTATTTGTTTATTTTGTTTCACATTCAAAGGTCCTTGAGGTTTTGTCCAGGACACGTTGACACCAGCTTAGGCCACAAAGAGCCCTGATGGTGCAAACAATTACGGGCTACCCAGAGATGCCTTGGAAGGACCGCCTGGTGAACTGCATCTAAAAGGTCAGTCATCAAACCCTATGGAGCACAGTTGTATTCTGACACACATGGCGTCAGAGTCAACTCAACATCATCAACTGGTTGTTGTCACTGTTGTAAGCCCCCAAAGACATCAGCAACCAGGAACAGCCTTAGAGGCAACAGTATTGCATGACTTCTTTGCAGTGACCTCCTGCTCCAGCCACCATTGCCCATCACAGAGAGCTGCCACCACACCTGCTGCCAGACTCAGGAGCCAGGGATGCAGGGTAGCCACAGTCTGATCCCCATGTGCTTCTTCAGTCCTGCTCATTGATTTGTTTCACCCAACAGAAATGTACTGACCACTTATTACTTGCTAAGTTCTAGGTTCTGCAGTGAACAAAACAATGAAGTCCCTGTATTTGTGCTTACATTTAACTTAGGGGAGACAGAAAATATACCAAAAAAAAAAAAAAGGCAATGTATGATATTGGTGATAAGTACTATGAAATACTTAATGCAGGGTAAGGGGGCCAAGGAATACCAGGAGAGGTGGGGGCTCCCATTTTGCATGGGATCACCAAAGAAGGCCTCTCTGGGAAATGTTTTAAGCAGTCTTAAAGTCCTAAAAGGAGCTCTGGTAGCACAGTGCCTAAGGCACTTGACTGCTAACCAGGAGGCTGGCGGTTCAAACCCACCAGCCACTCCTCGGAAGGAAGGTTGGGCAATCCTACTTCCATAGTGATAACTGCCTCGGAAACCCAAGGAGGGGTCGCTAGGAGTCGGGGCCGACTCGATGGCAAATAACAACAACAACAACAGCAAAAGTCCTAAAGGAGGCAATGGAGCAAGCTTGGGACTATCTACAGGAAGAGTATTCCAGGCAGTGGGAACAGTCAGTGCAAAGGCCCTGAGACAGAAGTGGTCTGGGTATCTTTGAAGAACTAACCCCCCCCCCAAAAAAAAAACCCACCTGTTCACCTATTGCCATCAAGTCATGGTAACCCCATGTTGAGTAGATGTTGAGTAGAACTGAGTTCAATGGTGTTTTCTTGGCTATAATCTTCATGGAAGCAGATTGCCGGATCTTTCTTCCTTGGTGCCACTGGGTGATTTGAACTGCCAACTTTTCAATTATTAGTCAAGCACAACTGCTTATGTCACCCAGGGACCTTCCTTGAAGAACAGTGTGGCCAGAGTAGAATAAAGAATATATTAGTAAGACATGACATCAGAGAGAAGACAGTGGGAAGAACAGATCGTGTCAGGCTTGTTGCCCATTGCAAGGGCTTTGGTTTTTCGTCTGGGTGAAATGGGAGTCATGGGAAGATTTTGAGCTAAAGAGGGACATGATCAGATATGCTTTTAAAGGATTAGTCTGCTACTGGGTAGCAAAGGAAACAAGGTGAGTAGGTGCTTTAGCTTGGGTTCCTTTGAAAGCTGAGTGTGAGATGAGGACTTGTGTGCACATAGTCTTTCTGAGAAGTGATCCAAGAGTGGGAACTACCAGTCAGGAAAAGAGAAAACACCAATGTGAGAGTGTGCTATCAGTGTCATTGCTTTGGGCAACTGGGGCTTTGGGTTCCCCAGAATCTCTGAAGAGTGCACAGGGTGGCTTCTAGAATTATCCCCCCAAAGGATGGGAGGCAGAGAACCCCTGTTCTCCACCAGTTGAGGGTTGCCCCCTGTATTAACTCTGTGCTTCTGGGTGCACGGTCAGAGCAGGCTCCTGTAACATCAAGCCTCTATGATGGAAAGCAAGAAGACGCGCAGCTCACACTTGAGGCAAGTGTCTGTGTCAGCAGGTGGATCTGAGCTCACGTGGAACCATTCACCATTGCTGTGGCTAAGCCAGAGGTGGACAGAGAAGAATGTGATACAGGCACCAGAAGTGTCTCATACAGTCCACGCCTTGCACTGCTCAGATCCATTTGAACTCCAATCTGATGACAGATAGATAACTACTGTGGAGGCAACTGACTCATGGTGATCGTATGTACAACAGAACAAAATGTTGCCTGGTCCTCATGTCCTGATGTCCTCCTTCAGCAAGTGATCCCTCCTGATGACATGTCCAAAGCAAGTGCATTGGACACTATTCTATTCTCCTCCATAAGGTACTCGTTGGCTAATTTTTGGAAGTCGACAGCCAGGCTTGCGTGTTGCTATGATGCTGGAAGCTATGGTACCGGTATTTCAAACAACCACAGGGTCGCTCATGGTGGACAGGTTTCAGCAGAGCTTCCAGACTAAAGAGAGGCCTTCTAAACAAAGGCCTGCTGATCTGCTTCCAAAAATCAGACAATGAGGAAAAAAAAAAAAAAAAAAATCCAACGGATCACATGTTGTCTCACATAGTGCTGGAAAATGAGCCCGCTTGGTTGGGAAGCACTCAAAATACAGAGGGGCTGCAACAACAGACACACCACAATCGTGAAGGTGGCGCAGAACCGGGCACCGTTTCGTTGTGTTAGACATGGGTCACCATGAGTCAGAGCTGACTCCGTGGCAACTAACAACAACAGCAAAGAAGTACTGGACACAGTTAAGAGAAACCAACAAGGGCTGAAGCAAGAATGCCCTGGGGCTAGTACAGCTGGGCGACATTACCAAAGGACCGAGGGAAAATACTCTGCCATCAAGTTGATCCTGGCTCATAGCAGCCCTGTAGAACAGAGTAGAACTGCCTCCGTATGCCTTCCAAGACTGTCATCGATGCAGAAGCAGACTGCTGCATCTGTCTCCTGAAGAGTGGCTGGTGGGTTTGAACCGCTGACCTTTCAGTTGGCAGCTGAGCCCTGTACCACCACGGCTTCTTTGGACTAAAGGGAAATAAGCCTTTATCCGAACCCAGAAAGAGTAATTAAAACCCAAGGCTGTCTCTGGTGCTGTGGCCCTCAGTTAAGGGTGTAGCCAGCCTACAGCAAACTAGTGGAGAGGGAATCAGAATACATAGCCTGACTTCTCTGTCTCTCTCTATCTCTCGCAGGCCCTCTGATCTCCTGCCTGTCCATGTAATCCTTAAGGCCAGCCTCCCAGGGCCCAGAGCAGGGCAGGTAAAGCTGGAAAGTGGGTTTGAGGGGGATATGGAAAATCAGCCCACTGATATAGGAGAGGCATCCGGGTTGGGGCCTGAACTATGTGTATGAACCGATTAGGAGAAGAATTGGGAGATGAGGAGGGCAGACATTCCTGAGAGAGGAAACTACAAGTGCAAAGGCCCTGAGGTGGGAGAGGGATTAGGATGTTTTCAAGAGATAGAAAGGAGATGGGGTGACTGGACTACAGAGAGCTCAAGATATGCTCTGGAGCAGAACCTGTAAGGCTTGCTGATGGGTTTGACAAGGCAGGGATGGAACAGAAGAGTAAGGCAGGTTTTCTGCTTTAGTACCTGGATGAATGGGAGCGCCATTTACTGAGCTGGAAAGTCTAGGGAAAGAATCAGTTTCAAGAGGAAGATTCAAAACTCTTTAGCTATAGTGCAAGTTTGAGATAAGAGTCTCGGGTGGCGTTAACGGTTAATGTGCTCGCTGCTGACTGAAAGGTTGGTGGCTCGAGTCCCCCCAGAGGCACCTCAAAAGAAAGGCTGGTGATCTACTTCTGAAAACCCATCATTTAAAACTCTGTGGTACACAATTCTACTTGGACGCACACGGTGTCACCACGAGTCAGAACTGACTCCACGGCAACCAGCGTGTTACTTTAAGTCTGAGATGCCTTCCAGAACACCCAAGTGGTGACCAAAGTAAATGATGGCACTAAGAAGTGTACAAGAGAAAAAGATGCTTGTGCTAAAGAATATGACATACCTAATTTGGCAAAAGGAGCTCTGGTAGCATAGTGCCTAAGGCACTTGACTGCTAACCAGAAGGCTGGCGGTTCAAATCCACCAGCCACTCCTCAGAAGGAAGGTTGGGCAATCTACTTCCGTAGTGATACTTCCTCAGAAACCCAAGGAGGGGTCACTATGAGTTGGGTCCAACTCAATGGCAAATAACAACAACAACAACAATTTGGCAGAAACACCAACAATAGCTAAAAAATGAGTTATGGACACATATATAGGTATATTGGCATAT